AAATTAAAAATAGTTCCAATGCCAGAAATGCACCAGAGATGCAAAAGTAGAGCAGCTCGACACGTCAGCCTGTTGGTGCGGTGGAGCCAGAACAAGAGTTGTTCCGAAGGGTGACTGGGAAGGGGAAGGAAAGGTTTGCTCCTTGCTTATGCAAGGAGCAAAATACGCAGAAACCTGCGTATCTGGTGTCAATCTCCAGAAAGGTGAACTTTGTTGAGTTCCCAAGTACGCAGCGGCTGTAAAGGGAGGGCAGCAATCAGGGTACTTCAAGTAACGAGCTTGTTCCTCACCTTTAGGTGGCAGACTAAAACAGCCAAAAGTGAATGCTGGTTGAGATTTTTGGAGCAGTGCTAGAAACTTAGCCGCAACTCTTCAGCGTAACTGGGGGTATTTTTTCGGCAGAGGTGAGTGAAATTAATTTTAGTGAAAGGATGTATTTCAGCATTAGCTGTTCTTCCTTCCCCCTTCCCCGTGCTGGGTTAATGGGATGTGCCACATCCTCATGTGCATGCTTATGCATGCAACAGCAAAACAACCCACATCCTAAATTCTGTTAGAACTTCTACAGTCTCTCTCTTCTCGTCCTGTTCTAACACATCCGCTGAAGGGGTCACTTTCCCAGCGTAGCGAGCTCCTCTGTCAGAGCGGGAATTATTGCCATGGTCAGGGATGTAGGCAGCAGTTTCCAGTTTATAAATTGTGTTTTAACCTGAATCTAGGTATTGGCTACAACTGCTGTTTAGGAAGTGGTCATAATGGGCAAGTTGGGAAGAAACTTAGTAAAAGCGGGGCTTTGATGAAACTACCACAGCGCTACATTGCTGGTGTAAAACTAGTTGTATAATTTTTTTCTGTTTCACAGCGTCCTGGTTTCAGCTGGGACAGAGTTAATTTTCCTGACAGAAGCTAGTATGAACGTATGTTTTGGATTTGGGGTGAAAATAATGTTGGTAACATACTGATGGTTTCAGTTGTTGCTAAGCAGTCAAAGACAGTCCAGCTTCTCCTGCTCTGGCCTGCCAGCAAGAAGGCTGGGGGTGCACGGGGAGCTGGGAGGGGGGGACACAGCTGGGACAGCTGACCCAGGCTGGCCAGTGGGATGTTCCATACCATATGACATCATGCTTGCTATATAAACTGGGGGAACAAGGAAAAAGGGGGGGATATTCAGAGCAATGGCATTTGTCTTCCCAAGTAACCACTACACGTGCTGGAGCCCTGCTGTCCTGGAGATGGCTGAACACCTGCCTGCCCATGGGAAGCGGTGAACTAATTCCTTCCCTGCTCTGCTTGCGTGCGCGGCTTTTGCTTTACCTGTTAAACTGTTTTTACCTCAATCCAAAAGTTTTCTCACTTTTAACTTTCCGATTCTCTCCGCCATCCCACTGTGGGGGGAGTGAGCGAGCGGCTGCGTGGGGCTTAGTTGCCGTCTGGGGTTAAACTGTGACATTTTGAAGTGTTTGCATACCGAAGTCATCCATCCCAGTCATGTATTGCTGACCCTCTGACTTTCTGCATGTGGTGACAGGCAAGCGGTCTCCAAACTTGGAGGCTGATTCTATTTTTTTTTAAAGTCATGTCCTTCTCAGGTCTTGCATAAGTGCAAACAGTAAAACGTGTCCTTATTTTTTTGGCATGGTAACGTTGTTTGCCATACCTTTGTGGAGGTGTAATTACATAGGTATTTGTGCGATGTAATTGCTTACCTTGCCATGGTTGAGCATGTGCTGTCAGTAGCTAAGGAGTGCTATTAATGTTGCGGAACTTACATGCTGTTTACTGATTTTCCACTAGCAGGATGCAATGACTTAACAGTGGTAAAAAGACATTCTTTTTCTCTAGGTTCCACTGTGATTTCCATTTTCCTAGTGTCTATTTAAGTGTTTAAGCAATTCAGTCCTGTGTATTCAGTCCTATTCAGCGCTACCAGGCCTGCGCTGATCGCAGTACTGAACAATGAACGAGTAAAGTATTTCAGTACCATTCAGCCAGAGATGGTGCTTAGCGTGTCAGGTGTTCATTTTAAATCCCCATCTCATTTTGTTATCCCGCTGCTGTAAAAGCAGCAGTGGGCTATGTCTTGTCTTATATGGCCGAGTTGTCAGTGCCATAAGCAGCATTTTTTGGATTCAGTAGAAGACAGGTTTGATGAGAGATGCGAGTCATTTACAACAATCCTCTTTCATCAACACTGTATCTCAGGTCTTCAGGGATTATAAACCAGTGGCACTGATACAGATAAAATCCTTTCCACTAAAGTCTGTAGACTTCCTATCCTTTCGTTGGTGGTTTTCAGTGCATTGCCTGTGTAGATCAGTGTGTAGCTGTCAGTAATACTTGCCTAGTTCACGTTTCTCATGATAGTTTCCGTTCTTGAAAGATTATTTCATGAAGCAGGAACAGTAGTGAGGCAGCCAAACCAGTTCATAGGGGCAAAGGTCATCCGTCTGCTAATGCTCTGGCACAAAGCTTCTGTTGACTTCTCTTGTTTCTGGGAGAT